CAGGTGTGCAGTTAAGTTGGTCGTATTCGCTCTTTTTGTTGAGATGGTTTTAGAACAAACCCGACACACCGGCTCGTCCACATTACTGGGCTGCCCTCGTCATTTGGTTTAAATCCAAAACACTCCCACACAGGGGCCGTGGCTTTTGGTTTAGGAACAAGTTCCCTGTCTTTCTCTGACGCTCAACTGTCTTTTTTTTTCTCCGCCTCGTCTCCCCCTCATGAAGATCGCACTGTGTGTGTGTGTGTAGCTCATAGCCCCGCCTCCCCCACAGAGACAAAGACACTCGATGACAAGAGCTTTCCCTCCGTTCATTACGCTAATGAACCAACTCACCTGGCTGCCAGACGATGCACGGCAGTGACACTCTTGTCGTCCAGTCTCTTTGGTGGAGAGAGATGAGGAAAACAAACAGGAAAAGTTACCGTCTCCCTTTTAATTTTCCGTGCAATTAACCGACTTATCGCATATGCGACAGCCTAATTATGATTCCCAGTCCCGCCCGCTCCCGTTGACTTTTTTCCCCATCCCGTCCCAATCACGTGAAGAATAGTGAAACTGATTCCCATCCCGTGGGAATCACGTGACCCGTGGGACTCCCAAAAAAATGTCAGCCTCTGGTCTGGAGCTCAGATTGTTAAAGATTATTAGACAAGTCCAAAATATAACAGAATACATTAAGAACTACTGTTTGTTTAATAACTAATTAGAGTGTAAAAATAAGATAAAACAAAAAGTTTTCCCTTCAACTTCCCATCAGTTGATTTAAATAAAGAATTACAAACAAACAAATTTTTAGGAATCCCATAAATTTGGTTATCAAAGGTAGTAATTGGTAAGTGTAAACATTTTACAGTGTAAAAAAATCCTGCCATCGCTCTCTGGTGGACAAACTCTGTAATGGAGACACTGTTTCTGAAAGATCTCAAACATTTCTCTTCTGACATTAACTGCTGCTTATCTGCAGATATATGCAGCGATGACGATGCTAATATCAGGTGATACACCATCAAATGTGTGAGGTTTTTAGCAATTTCTTGCTGTTTTACAAGCTTTTATTTGTGCAACAAACATGCATGTAGCAACCCATAGCTTTTTTCAAACAGTGGATAACGCCCTGAAAAGAAATTGTTTTTACCGACACATTGCTGCATTTCCAGCGAAGATTGTGCCCCCAAAACTGGGTATTTTAAGACAAAATACGTCTTCACCTTACCATAACCCAGTGGTTTTTGTGCCTAAACATAACCACACGTGAACCACAGAGCTGTTGACACACAAAGTTTCAGTGTATCTATTACATAATAACGTACAGATGTAACCTGTCTGTGGTTTCCAGAAACATACGATGCCAGCATTACTTCTGGTGACTGGGTTTTTATATTTCAGAGTTCAGACATGAAACATAGAAATCAACACACCTGTTTTCTCCTGCAGACGTTCCGTCCACGACGCCTCCTACCAGCGGCTCTCCCAGCCCCACCCCTCCCTCCTCCCTTCATCTGAAACCAGCCAACCAGAGGAGGGGGCGGGACAACGAGGGTCCAAAGTTGTCACATCACGAGGTGCGGCAGATTGAGGTGGAGCTGGTAACCCCTGACTCCCGTGGCTCCACCCCCAAGACAGGCATCATCCGCCGAACCATCAAATACTCTGAGACAGATCTTGACGCCGTTCCACTGCGGTGCTACAGGGAGACCGACCTGGACGAGGTGATTTCATCACACCTGATTTAAGTCGTTCACCTCATCTGGAACGTCTTCACGTTCATATTGGATAAATATTGGTTACTGTTGTGTAGGTGATGCGGGCGGAGGCCGAGGCAGCCGAGGAGGTGGACTCGGCCTTTGGGAGTAACCGCAGTGTCTTGGGAAACTCCAGCTTCAGCCCCGCCGAGGCTTCGCCAAAACCCCGGACAGGTGTGGGGAAGGTGGAGGAAGATGGGGAGGAGGAGGAGGATGAGGAAGAGGAGGAGGAGGAGGAAGAGGAGGGAGTGGTGAGCTGGGCCAGTGTGCGGATGCTGGGAGACAGACAGAGACAAAGAGCTACCGAGGAGGAGGACGAGGTGTTCAGTCTGCTGCTGAAGGGGTGAGAGCTCCAACACTTACATCAGTGTGTGTGTCACTGAGTCTAAACACACGTGTCATGTCTGTGTTCACATTTAACTCAGCCAGGAACTCAGTTTTGACGTTAAATTATTAACGATGGTGGAGGAAACTACTCAAAGTACCTCGAAAGCTTCCTGCTGATAAGCCAGCAGAATAAACAACAAGTAACTTCCTGTTTACCTCATGTCTCTCCCTTCACATGGCCCGGACATCTTTGTGTTATTCACTTCATTAAAAACATGTTTGAGGCCCATCTGTCACCAGTGTGGATACTCTGTAGAGCAGCTGTATGTTAACTGGTTTAAAGACGGTACCACTTTATGTTGTGTCGTCTCGTGTATCCTTAAACGTATGTGACTTCGCAGCTGTGACATGGTTGAAAACCAACAAATTTAATCTTGTTGTTCAGGAGAAACTTAAGTTAAGATTGATTCGTGTAGGGCTGCACCCCCGACTAAGACTGTTCCTAGTGGACCGACAGTCCTCATCAGGGTCCATCAGTCCTCATCAGGGTCCATCAGTGGACCGACGGTCCTCATCAGGGTCCATCAGTGGACCAGCGGTCCTCATCAGGGTCCATCAGTGGACCGACGGTCCTCATCAGGGTCCATCAGTGGACCGACGGTCCTCATCAGGGTCCATCAGTGGAC